GTCCAGCAAGTACCACGGGGGGAACTGTGTGCACCATGGGCCAGGGACACAAGGCAGACCAATGCAGCACAGAAGTATAAATCAAGAGGCTGCGTCCATTCATTCATTCATTCCTGCGGATGCCATGCGGAAGCGCTGCCTAGCAGCTTGTGCGAGGAGGTCTGCAGAGTGCCCGAAGACGAAGTGGGCAGAGGAGTAGAGTGCAGCGATAGGTAGTGGCAGCTAGCGCTGCCATAGCTGTAGCCTAGCATGTGTGTGTGTGAAGTGTAATACTGAGTGTTGCGTGTGGGACATCCAGGGTGATCCAGAGTGCGAACAGTGAGTTGTGTGGGCGCTCAGTCGCCATAGCCAGTTTGAAGAGAACTCTTATGTGGATACGATATCTTGAGTACTGAGTGGGCGCCTGTCGCCAATTTGCTGTTTCGCTGTTTGCATACATGACAAGTTGAATAATCGTAGTGTGATTTCAGAGGACAAAGGCAGCACACCTAACACAGAAGGCTCCACCAGCAAGAAAACACCGACCACACCCGACATTAGTCTGAAAAATTGACTGTGTGTCTGTCTGTGAGCGTTATCAGTAAGAGTTCCCATAATCTCTGAAAGCAATTAAGAGTTCTTCCAACATTTCATCGTGTGTGACAACTGACGTTCGATTATTTCCTGTTGTCTGCGTGTTCGTAAAACTCAAAAGAATTCAGCAAAGTGATCTTCGTACTTGACAGGAAGCATTCCATCCTTACACAATCTAGAAAGACCGGAACCACAAAAGGGCAATATCAGGGTTCCAAAATGCAACCCCATCGGACAGACATTCAGCTTCGACATCGTGATTTCTTCCTCAATCAGGGCAAGCAGAAGGGGGACAGATACAGTGCATCGCCTGTTTACAGTCTGTTTCTAACAGACTGATTGGGACTCTCTAAGGACTGTTTTTCCGGAAGTGCTTTGTTTTGGAGGATAATTCTGCTGCTAGAGTGGGCCAAACTGGCAGTCAATTCTTCCGGAGAAAGCAATGGATGTTCTCAAGGTTCCCCATGCTGTAACGTGGGGAAGCATTGAGAGTACATACATTTTGAATTATTTCTGGCCATAACTTGGAGAAGTGTTGAGAATGCGTAAGCTTTGAATGATTTCTGATGTGCTGAGGGAAGAGGAACCGGACTGATGCTTGTGGGAATGGATACGGAGCCGGGACCAAGGACCTGTTTTTTTTTTTGGGGAGGGGAGGGGGGGGGGGGAGGGGAGGAAGACCAGAAAATGAGAAATCAAGATCCAGACAAAGCCTGGACAGCCAGATGTACCGAAAAGATACTGCAACCCAGAAGTCTGAGTTTCCCTGGACGCACATATGGTGGGCTGTCTGGAGCCATCCAGGTCTGTCATGAGGCCAGATTGGTGAACGGCTGCAACCATGAGCCTGTCTTATGAAATTAGACACCTTCAACAGTTTGGTTAGTGATCGGTGCTCGGCATGCATGCTTCTGCACTATTACGATGAATATGGCAGTCAAGCTTGCCATCCCCCCGGGCCCCCGCTATCCCATTTCGCATGAGCTTGTCAAAACATCACTGCATTCCTCTTCAAACCTCCCGCATCAGCCTCTGGAGTCAAAAACAATATTCAACGCTGATGCACTGGATCTGCTGAGAAAATGACTTACCCTCTGGTAGTACCATAGCACTGATGAGATGCTGCCCTGCTAAAACCTGAAAGGAGGATGGCTCATGAACCAACAGAACCATATGAGTTTTCTTTCGCACTGAACTGGAAATCATATTCACTGCAAAGACTGCACCACTCTGCTAGAAGCCAGACCACAGCCTGGCCAGCCCGGGCTCTGGTTGGCCCCTGGGCGTCCCTAGCGCATTGCTGCGCAGGATGTGGGGCCCAGTTTTCTATTTCTACTGAAAAGTTGCTGTGGGGGAAGCAGAGGATCCAAAAAAAACAGGACTCTACCGGCCCGCAATTATTTCCAGGGGTGGATCTGGGCAGCCAATCAGGCCCAGATCAGCTCTCTTTTGGCAAGTCTGAGTAACCTAGGAGGGGAGGGCGTTTCAAATTTGAATTTGCCCCCCAGGCAGTGCAAGCCGCCGCCGCGTCAGGCCCTATCCGCCCCCCATCGTCCCCATCACACGTCACACTCTTGCCACCGCCGCCACCATCAGCCAAGATGCCTTCCCCGAGGCAGATGAGGTGAGTTGGCTGCAGTTGCCATCATCATCACTGCCACTCCTTCATTCTTCTCATCTTCTCTCTATCTGGCAAGCTGGCTGGGTGGCTGGACGAACGGACCGAGGAACTGAGTGATCAGCCAGCTGGCCAAATGGATGGATGGATGGATGGATGGATTGGTAGATAGGTAGACGGATGTATGGATTGGGGGGGGGGGGGGGGGGGGGGGGAGAGAGAGAGAGAGAGAGAGAGAGAGAGAGAGAGAGAGAGAGAGAGAGAGAGAGAGCAACATATCCTGGCTCTGCTCTCGCCTCCCATCATCCCCTCTCCACCTATCGGTGCACTTTCCTCGTCCCCTATAGCTAGGCCCTCGCCCTCACCACTTCTCTGCCCCTGCCCCCCATTGCGAACTTCCCTCTCCCCACCGCCACATTCCCTGGCCCCATTTACGACTTTCCCTCCCACCGCTATCACACCGCCCCCCATCCTGAACCTCCCTCCCCCCCAACCCGGGCTTACCCGCTGCATCTCAACCTTCCCTCATCCCCCATTTTGTCACCTCATCATCATCACTTCTTCTGTCAACCAGATCACCATTATCAATTCCTTGTCTACTTCTTCTTCGTCGCCATCGTCGTCCTCGTCTTCTTTGCAGGCAGCAGCCAGCCTGGTGAGCAGGGGTGCTATCAGGAGTGCAAAAAGCACATAAGTGACCACACACCCAAGAATCCTGCCCCCCCGCCCCCAAGTCTGACGTTGATGCCTCGTCTCCGGAAGCACAGAATGACGCATGAATCAGACAAAACAAGAATCAGCGACCTTTCTGGGCCACTTGGTCACCTAGTTGCCCCCCCCCCCCCCCCCCCCCTGGGTCCACATACAGCAAATCCATTGTCCGCAGTTATTATGTATCGCAAATCGGCCACAGACTACATCGCCCTCATGAGCCAGGGATTTTTACCGTTTGCAAACTGCAAGGAATTGTGTGCACTGTGCATACATTGCTCTAAAATCTGTCATATGATATTCCTCATGTAATCTTACATGAGATCACTTCTGTTTTCTATCACTTGGCTCACTTGCCCGACCAACTGCACAGCACACAGCTTTCGTTTTCCTCGTGCAGCAAAAGGAATTCATTGCGCAGCAGCACCCAACTCAACGAGTGGGTTTTGCGGCTTCCCTCATTCTTCTGTGCCACAGAGGATGGGTCTTTGAGGGCATATTCACATTAGCACAGGAAGCTAACTACAGCAAAACCAGTTATGGAGTCAGTCTGCCAACTTCCTTCAACATGGGGGCGCCAGTGTCCTCTACTTGTTCACCTGTGTCGGTTTGGGGTGGTATGGTTAAATCAATTTACAATTGATTCTAGAAGTTTTTTTTCCAAACTTTGAGACTCTGTTCAATTATCCGATTTTGTCTTCGTCAGTTGCACTAGCTTTAAATCAAATTCCGTGACTTTCTAGCATCCATTGCTGCTGCTTTTCTTGGTGTCCTTTCAAAATATCCCTAGTGCGAGTCCGGCCTGAGATGCACCAGTCCAGAACATGGTGTCAGTCCAGAATGTCGGCAGAAGAAGCACAGACAGCTTCAAATAGTTCGAGAAGATGAGGTTCAGGGCTACTGGTGATTTAACATACGCCTGGAAATTTCGCGAAGAAAGTCCATTGGAAGTCTTGCAGGACATACATTTGCAGTTCTTCAGACAAGGGGCTCCACTTTTCCCAAAGAGATGGTTGTTTTGCTGTGTGCAGGACATACATGTGCAGTTCTTCACACAATGGGTTCCACTTTTTTCCGATGTGACAGTTCTGATAATCTGATTACAGAAAAGGGACAAATGTACAGACACATGACAACTTACCCTCCTTGCGATATCCACATCATTCAAGAACGTCCCATCCGCACCAACAATACCAATGCCCCGAGGCTTGGCTCCACGATTCACCAGCATCCCTATGTCCCCTGTTCCCGGGATCATATCTTTGTTCTCTGGCAAGCTGGGAGATATATCCTCTCTTGCCTCCTCTGCCTGCTGATCTCTATGTTCACCCACTCTGCTGTATCCAATCTGGCTTGCTGAAATCCCTGTTTGGCTATGATTGGCAGCAATCCCCCATTCAGCGAGTTTATCCATTTCTTCAGTCCTTATCTGCAAGGACCACGCAAATGCATAAACGAAGGAAATTGACCCACTTTCAGATGCAGATGCAGTTCCCAGCAGATCGCCTTGGTAGGGGCTGAGCAGGTGTGGAACAGCAGGAAAATATACACCCCCAGAGAATAAGTTGGAGCCATTCTCCGATGACTCAATGACATTTGTCTCACTCATTCGTGCAACAGAACGTACAAACTACTACAAAGCATTTCCAATCACTTTCAGTAACATCCATTAACAGAAAAACTCACCACAAAATTCTGAACTTCTATCTAAATGCAATCAGACTCGCTTTCTTCTTTGCCTCACATACATGCAAACAGATGGTGATTCACGCTGGCACACAGCGCCCACTCAAAACTCAGAGATATGGAAATCGAGAACACAGTTCAGACGCAAACTTGCTTCAACAGGCTATGGCGCATCAGCGCCTGCACATCCCAACTCTCGATACTGTTTCCAACACCACTGTTCGCACACACTCAACTCTGGATCACCCTGAATACCCCACACACATTCACATACTAGCGCCTCTCTCCTACCTACACCGGCTATGGCCGCTCAACTACTAACTATGGCTACGCTATCTTCTTCCAGCCCGCTTCGACTTCGGGCGCTCTGCAGACCACCTCGCACAAGACGCTGGAGCAGCGCTTCCGCATGGCTTACACAGTGAATGAATGAATTGCTGGACGCTGCCTCTTGATTTATACTTCCGTTGCTCGCTGGTCTGCCCTTTCCTCCAGGCCCTTGGTGCACACAGTCCCACACGGTACTTGCTTGACTGGACTGCGATTGACTGGGACCGGTACCACTGACTGCACGGGGTTGCACTGCCGACTCGGCGCTGTCGCACTGCTGAGTCGACGCAGTTGGACTTACGACTTGCCTACAGACCTCTAGCCTAGCAGTTTCGAACTCTACACAACTGTAACCCCTACTTGACAGATCTACAGATCGAATCCCTACAACTACAGGGACCTACGAGAAAGAACAGTCACTACTAAAACACAGATCGTGGGCTCAAAACACAAAGGGGTCTACTTGATACTGTACACAGGTGCAGGTAAGGTCTAGGGATTGAACCCTGGGATCTGCATCAGCTTGCAAAGGTGAAAACCGTTTCACTCCCGCCGGCCTAAATTCGAGGTCCTCCGAGAATACTTCAGTGCAAGGCAGGACCTTTACCCTTCTAATCTCTCTCATAGGCTCGGACTACATTGGGCGCTGTCTCTAGAAGTTCTGCTCTGGTGAACCAGCGGTCATCTTCAGGTTCTTGATAAGAGAATCTGACTTTGTACTGTTTCTGTGGGCAACCTCTACCTCCTGTTCTGAAGACATCCTCACCTACTAGCCATCAATGTCGTACCTTCCATTCATATCGGGAGGAATCATAGACCTTCGTGATGGAAACTGTTGACTCGTAGTACAAGGTAACAACTTTGATGCATGGAAAACTGGGTAGGTCTGGAGGTGTGCTGGAATCTCTATCGTGTAGGATGGTCCATCCTCTCCACCCTTGACTTCTAGGACTGGCCACTGTCCTCTATAAGCAGGTAGCAACTTTTGCGAGATATTCTCCTCAGGAGCAAACTCTTTTGACTTGACCCAGACTAAGTCGCCGGCTTGGAACTGTGAAGGGCGACGGTGTTTGTTGGCTTGTTCTATCATTCTGTGCTGGGCCTTTTTTCTGAGGTTGTCAACTACTGTAGCAATCTCTTTCTCGTGCTGTATATCGCAAATTCCTTGGTACCGAGTGGTAGCCTCTCAATCTGATCCTGGTTAAGTCCTTCAAACGGTCTGCGTGTTTTAAAAGACTTGTGTAGCTCATTGGGAGTGAGACAAGTAGCTAAGTGCACGCTATTGTTGTACGCACTGGCTACCTTTGGGAGCATCTCATCCCAGTCCAGTTGGTCAGGTCTAATGTACATTCTCAGAACTTGCTGTAGGACTTTGTTCATCTGTTCGGTTTGTCCGTTGGTCTCTAGATGACGGCCAGACGACATTAACAACTTTGATCCGTCGACTTTCATTAATTCCTGCCAGTTCTGACTAGTGAACCGGGTGTCCCTGTCACTAACTATAGAAAATGGTAGCCCATGTTCACTGACCCAATGGTCGAAAAACTTTCGTATCACTAACTCTATGCATGCCTCAAAGGGCAAAGGAACAAAAACGGCATACTTGCTAAACCTATCTACTACGACCATGACTTGACTCTTGCTATGTCTACTTTTGACACCAACTTCCATGAAATCTATAGACACTGAATATCTGGGTCCGGGGATAGGCAATGGTATGAGAAGACCTAGAGGAGCATGCGTAGTAGTTTTATTCCTTTGACATACTTTGCAACTGCGTACGTATTCTATGCAGTCGGCCTTCATACCAGTCCAGGTATACGCGCATGAGGGCGCATGAGGTTGGCTAATGTCTTCTGCCAACCGAAATGTCCCTCTGTATCATGGCATTCCGCTAAGATCAAACTTCGGATCTCTTCGCTATCGGGAATGCATAGACGATCTATATCATTAGTCTTCTCATATAACAAGGCGTCCAAAATAGTCTGATCTCCTACTCAGAGCGTCCGCAACTACATTGTATTTTCCCTTGACTGGCTTGAGCTCAAAATCATACTGATCTATCTTTGCGGCCCACCTAGTTAGCTTTGGTGTCACCTTGGCCTGCGTTTTCAGCCACCGTAGTGTCTCGTGGTCTGAACACACTTTAAAGTGCCTCCCAAGCAAGTAGTGCTTCCAGTGGTCTAACGCTTGCCTGAGAGCGTAGAGTTCCCTCTCGTATGTGGATGTCGCTACCTTTTCTGAAGGCATTCTAGCAGACATGAACTCTTCGGGTCTGTATCCAATACCATCGTCTTGTTGTAGAACAGCACCTATGCCATATTGACTTGCATCAGTGGTAACAACAAATGGCAATGATGGATCGACTAACTTAAGGTCAGGGTACTCTATCAACGCCCGCTTTAACTTCTTCAAGGCCGTTGAGCAGTCTTTTGAAGTTAAAGGCCGTTGTGCAGTCTTTATCCCACTTCCAAATTGCCTCTTTCTTTAGCAACCTGCGAAGGGGAGCAGCGATGGTGGAGGAGTTCCTGACGAACTTTCTATAATAGTTTGCCAACCCTAAGAATGACCACAACTCTGCCAACGTGCGGGGAGTCGGCCAATCCCTAATCGCTGCTATCTTACTGTCCTCGGCAGAGTTGCACCCGCCGACCGTTGGCGGGCCTCGACCGGTCGGCTGCCGACCAGCAGACTGACCGACCGGTCGGCGGCCGACCAATCGGCGGGGTCGGGGTGCCGCAGTTTCGCGCGGCGGTGCGCCCTGCCCGGTAGGCCCCCTTTTCGGCAGCGGGGGGGTTTTGGGTTGTCGGGGGTCGGCCTGGGAGGCCGCCGACCGTGCTCACCGACTTTTCCACGGTCGGTGGCCTTCAAAAGAGTGTGGCTGCCCACACTCTCCTCAGTCTTGTGCTGTGGGATTCGTCGCGCCGCCCGGTGAAGTGGGGAGAGTGCAGGCAGCTTGGAGATCGCCACGGACAAACTTTGTGGGGGACTGCAGCTTCGACAGTGGTGAGAGAGAGAGAGAGAGAGAGAGAGAGAGAGAGAGAGAGAGAGAGAGAGAGAGAGAGAGAGAGAGAGAGAGAGAGAG